AGCCCGCTCCCCGGCCCGGGTCCCGCTCTGCCCAGCTGCCCACGCACTGGCAGCCCCCCCGGCCGCCCAGGCACCCACCAGGGTTTGTGGGTGCCTCGCCAGTGCGGGGGAGTTGGACCTACAGCTGTCACCCAGGAGCCAGTCCCTGCACCCCTCCAGGCCCAGGGGAGGCTGTGGATGAGGGGGAACAGGCCCACTGTGGGTAAGGGGTGACTGATGGAACCCCCCGAAGCAGCAGGGCCTGGGTCTCATTGTGCCTGGGCAGAAGGCAGAGGGGACCGGGGGGCCAGTGAGCCATGGCAGCACCGGCACAGCTGGCTCAGGCTGCTGACAGTGCGAGGCTGCTCTGTCTCGCGCCGCCGGACGCTCTGTGCTCCAGGCTGTCTCTGGCACACACTGTCCTGTGGTGTGGCTCTGTGGCAGGAGGGATGTAAGAAGAGGGTATGTGGGACCATGGCCTGGACGGAACATCCCTGTCGCCAGCCAGCACAGGGCTGAGAAGGCCTCTGGGCTGCTGGAGAGTGGTGGGCAGGGCAGGGCCCTGCAGCTCCTTCACTCCCCTGCTCCGTGTTGGCCTCTCCCATGGGTGCAGAGCAGCACCTGTCAGCCCTGGGAATGGTGTGGGGTGGGCAGGGGAACAGCCACCACTGCGGCCAGGCCACCCTCATTCCCTCAGGAGGGGAGAGCTCAGCTTACCCACACTCACCTGCCCACAGCCATCACACAGAGCCCGGCACAGAGACAAAGCAGCCATGCCAGCCAGCATCATTAGACTTCGTTAAGGTGACGAGCTTTCACTTCTCTGCAGTGCCAGGCTGGCTCTGTTCCGCTGCCGGAGCCCAATTAGCATCACAGGCAGGCAAGCAGCTCCCAGGAAGAACCAGGGTTAGGCAGTGCCCCCTGAGACTGGGCACAGCTCAGAGCAGGGCTGGCCCAGGGTCTCCAGCCCACAACTCCCTGCTGGGGGGGTGGGACGTACTGGGCACACAGACCCTTGGGGCTGGGGCACATAACAGGGTGAAGCCAAAGCCCCTCTGCTTGATGCAGTGCCCAGGGGGGCCCAGCCTGGCCCTCCTCCCCCCACTACCAGGAAGCTCAGCTCCAACTGGAGCCATCCTGCAGCAGAAAGGGGCACAGCATCTCCCCACCCCCTCAGCCGGACACCAGACCCTGTGCTTGTTCCATTCTTTATTATATATTAAAGTCACAGATATTCCAGTTCTTTGATCCCTTGGGCCACCATGCCCAGGGGTGCACACAGCTGAGGGGCTGGTGCCCACAGCCCCCCATGCAGGATGAGGGGTGTGGGGGGCAGCCTTGGGGCAGCAGAGTTGAAGCCATGGAGCAGTGCTGGACAGACATCCCCACCCCAGGCCCTGGCAAAGGGTGAGCAAGTGCTCCAGCAGGTACTGCCAGGCCCCCCACCCAAGCCAGGGCACATCAGCCAGCCCCTCCACGGGAGAAGGCCCCCAGCCGTGGCTGGGGTAGGGGGGGGGCAAGTGGCTGCCCCTCAACCGTGGGGTTGGCTCTGTCATTATTGGTATGAGGCACAATCCCTGAAGAGCCCAGCAGCCGTCGGGTGCTGGGGAATTTTGGCCAAGAAGAAAGAAGCAGAGGAGGCTGGGAGGCAGAGGGGGGAGGCTGGGAGGCAGAGGGGGCAGTGGAGGAACACACAGGGCCAGAGGTACTAAGGTGTCTCCCCTTGCTGATCAGCAGAGGCTGGGAGCCAGCGAGCCCCAGCCCCGCTGCCCCAGCACAGGCATCCCCTACAGCATGGTCACTGGCTCCCCAGCCCCATGGGCCCTGCACCAGGCATGAAGCCCAAGGTCTGAGTTGCCCCCCTCCCTGGATCCTGTCCCCCAAGGACAGCACAGTCCTGCTCCCGGAGGCACACAAGGAACAGGGCTGAAGGAGGGAAGGGCAGAAAGCAAGAAAAACCCAAAACCAAGAGTGCAGAGGGGGCAAGAGGCCCAAGAATATCCCAGAGGTAATGGAGGTGCTGAGATCAGGTGTGAGAGAGGAAAAGGCAGTCTGGGAGTGGCTTCCACAGGCACTGGAAAGGCACAGGAGTGGGGATGAGGGACAGGGAGCAGTGCTGGCCCCAGACAGAAGAGAGGGGCTCTGGGATCCCAGCAGTGACCCGTGTGCTCACCCCCCGGGGCGAGGCGGGGTCCCATGCCTCCTGCTCAGGTGATCACTTTGATCCCAAAATATTTGCGCAGCTGTTCCAGGAAGACAAAGGTGAGGACGGTGTGAGGAATGAGCCGGATAGCAGCAGGAACAAAGCCCTGGAAGGGGACAGTGAGAACAGGGAGAGTCAGCATCTGCCTGGCCCTGGGCTTCCCTGTTGGGGCCAAAGGTGCCCAGCAGCCCGGCCAGGGGAGCCACCTGGCCTGGGAGCAGCCACGGGCTGTGGACCGAGTTGGGAGGAGCTGCAGGCACAGGGGAGGGAGGCGCTGCAGCCATCGCTCCGCACACCGACCCAGCCTCAAACATCAGCCCCTCCGTCCCAAACACAGCGGGGCTGGTGTCACTGCTCCATGGGCAGTCTGGGCAGAATGCAGGTCAGGCCCCACAGCCCCCAGCTCGGAGGGGCTGGACGCTGCCCGGGGAAAAGAAGCTGTGACAGGGAAACTGCCTGACTAGCAGCAGCTGGACGGAACCTCAGGAGTGAAACCCCTTCCCAGGAGTCCTCCCAGGAGAGAGGCTG